TTCGCCTGTTGTCGTCGTCCATCCGCCATGACACAAATCACTCGCACATCCAAACAAAATCAAAATCAACTCAGCTAAAACTCCCGCTCAGAGACGCCAAATAGTCTCGCAAAACTGCTTGACAATCTGCAAAGTATGCTAGACACTTCTTTAAGGATACTCTGGCGCTCTAAACTTGGCCTGCTTTCGATGGGAACGGATTTTTATGAGAACACTCTAAAACACGTCCACACTACTTGCCACCATTCATTATATTATTATTATTATTATTATTATTATCATTATCATTATTATTATCATTATTATTATTATCATTATTATTATTATTATTATTATTATTATTATTATTATAGTATTAGGGTCTACTAGGAAGCAGGGTGAATTTAGCACTTTGTCGTCCACTATGTGGTCCGCTTAAGAGACTTATTTGAGATACTACCCGCAAAGTCCATCAGTTGCAGGACGCTGAAGGTTTCATGTTTAAAACGTGAAACGGCGTGGAAGTTTACTGATATTATAAGTAGAAAGAGCTGGAGCTCATATGAGCCGAGCCCAAATTTGTTAGGCTAGTCCTTGATCCCTGAGAAATCATTGATATGTTGCCGAAGACTTCCAATGCATTTTTCGCAACAGGAAATCTTGAATCGCTCAAAAGCTTTATCTTCTCTTTTACGATAGAAGCTCTCGACGGTTTTCAACACACTCGACATGAGGTAAACTTGTCTTGCCTCGGCCGAAAGGCAGGAATAATGCTGGGTGGCGCGGTCATTGGCCAGCAAAAAGTTACCAAGAAGTTAGCCCTTTTTAATATTAACTATCAAAACTAAATATCAGAATGTTTTCAAACTGTCAGTTTAGGCGAAAATCAGTAAACATGACCATAAAGGGAGCATATATGGAAAGATGGAAGCTGGTTTACCAGTTTAAAGATCCTTCAAGACCTTCAACTGTTCGTGGTAAGCAGCGAAAATGGGGGAAATAGCGAGACCCAAGACACCTTTAAAGCGTCTGACGGTTAATATTGAGCAGCTTTTTTGACGATTGGCGGTAAAAATTTATCCTTTTTGACGGCTGATGGTTAAATTTTAGGCTCTTCGACGGCTCACGGTTAAGCCCCATTGAGACCTGCGGATAACAAAAACAATATATAGCAAAAAAAAAAAAAAAAAAAAAACAGAAAGACAAAGAAATGGAAGGGGAAAATTTGAGAAGACAGATTTACCCACCGCAATCATAGTTGATATAGCTATGCAGCAATTCAAATGAAACGACTTCGCCATTTTTGAATAGGGGGACTTTTATACTTACACATGTGGCGAAATGTTTGTATCGCCTTAACCCAAGAGACTAGCCTAGTCTTTCTTGACCGCGAAATAAGATATAGACTGAAGTCCTTTTTAAGTGTTGGATGTCGGCGTCGATCGTATCCCATACAGTTTCCGCGCGTGGTCTTCACGAAGTATAGCTTCGCTACGAACTATGGGAACTCTAGTTGTCAGAGGCGAATCGGAAATCCACACATGAAGTCATTCTTTTAGTCTTGGAACAGGCCTCACCCCAGTTCAAACCGACACGTACAAAATTCTACGTTCTGTTGAGCACAAGGTAAGGAAATGAAGCAATTTAGTCGGATCAGAATCATAGGATATTGATGGATTGTCTGATAACATTTTCGAATGAATGCACACAACATGCATCGATCGCGCGCGGGAAATCTGAAAACTGGAATAATTTCAATCGAACTAAGAGTGCAAAATCTAGCTAACGCGATTTTAAGTCAGAATGGGTGGTTTAATTGGTTCTGTTAACTTATAATTATCTAGGAATGTGCAGATCGATATCCGTAATGGTTTGAAGTACCTTACAGAATCTTGTCTTTATTTGCAGTATTTCACTATTACAGAAGTTTGTGATTTCGTGTTTGCTAGTCTTTCATGCTTTTCGCACCTAATTTATAGATTGAGGAGTGTTGATAATTTGAAATCGATACAGTCGGCGGTTTTTTTTTGTGTGTAAAAGTTCTCGACTGTCAGCGATTTGATCATTAGAACGATGCAAAGCTGTCATCTGTTATGTACTTGGTGTCATTACCAAATCAAACTTTAAACCGACCCCCGCTGTCGTTGTATGTTTAAATTATAACTTTGATTGAAATTTTTAAAAACACCTTTTAAAAAGCTATCAGGGAAAATGCTGTGTAAGGTTGAAAATGGGCTGGATGCAGCAATTGATAATCGATATAATTTATAGTGTTCTAATGGTTCTTTGTACAATTACAACTTACATGCAGTTCTCAAATCCAGTATGTATTTAATAATTAATTATTGTTTTTATGATTATTGAAAAATTATTCTTTCAGCTGATAAGACTCTTGTATGAGGAACGTTTGAACAAATTTACCCATAATTTTGATCCATAATCTATGTAATTTTGTAACATGTGCCAGAAAATATGACAATATTCATCATTATTGAACAATATTGATTTAAAGGAATATTGCCTGTTTGAATTTAGCTCAAGCAATTGTTGAGAATACTTTGTGTTGTATTTATTTTTAATGATATGGAGTATATTGTGGAAAAGTTTAGGAAATGATACGAATTTCAGGTCACATGTGGAATGGAGAACAAATGTGATAAACAGCTAAAAGTTTTGGGAATTATGCATATCAAGTTTCTTTTGCAAGAACATTTAAATAAGTTGCTATGCATGTGATCTGTTGACATTGTGGACTGTCACATATTCAATGGTTTCCATTGATTGTAAATCTCTCAACCATGCTATTTGAATAATGCAAGTATAAGCCTTTTCTTTTACATGACACTAGACAATTGTGTCTAAAATTACTTTGCTTTCATTAATGTAGAGGTATATGTGAGAGAAAAATTCTTTAACCCATAAATGGCCACAGCTTTTGTGAAAAACTGTGTTTTGAAGCTAGTCGAGCAGATTTCGGGTCACTGTTGTGGTTTTAAAACCTCAAACTTACCAAAAACCCATTAACAGCTCATACACTCGAGGGCCTTTCAATCCAAATGCAAAATGGCGGCCTGAAAATCTCTGGCACGTGCAGAAAGCAAAATTTCAACATAGTTTTTGGGTTGAAAAGTAATGCCCCACTTACGACTTTTACTTTTCTCTCTTTCTCCTGCCCTTTTTTTCCCCTCTCCTTACCTGAAGTTTCTCCTCACTTGCTTGAAATTTAGTAGGCTTCATTTTGGTGTAGAGATTTTTCAGGAAACTACTCATTATTTTCAAACCACATGCTCAGAAAGGTAGGTGGGTAATGGAACAAGATTTTCGTGCAGATTTTCAGGTCAAAGTTACATTGTTTTTTTGGCTATTTCTCCAATCTCCTTCACTCAATTGCGCTCATTCTGGTATTGTTTGTAAGATATTTTCAACCTGTTCAAGTACATGCTCAAAGTCGTGCTCCAGGGTTAAAAGTGATGATGTCACAAGGCGTAGAAAGGGTGTGGGTCCACATGGGCGCATACGGGCGCACTGGACGTCAATAGGTTAATTTGTTCAATTACATAACTCTGTGTTTAGTGTAATGTTCTGGAGTTCGCTTATACAGTTCGCTTACAGTTTGCTCACAGCTCCTTTAGTTGTTCGTTATCCTAGATTGTATCACCTCCGTTCTCACTTTACCGTGCATAATAAATACTCCAGTAAATGTCTCCTGGGGCCTTGGGCGTGAACTTGGAGGCCTGGACACTACATTTAGTATAAGAAGTTTAAAAATATATTAATAGACATTTTTGTGATATTGGCTTGATGTTATTACCCACCATGTAAGACTAAATTGAAAGTTTAAAATTAAAAAAATATTTCCATATATCGGTTTCTTAGATGCATTGCCAAAAATTACTTTGTAGATTTTGGCATCAGTTTCTTGATTCCTGTTTTTAAAGTAGGTCTATCAACATCCAAAACTGTTTCCCTCTGTGAATTTTGAGAGTTTTTTTTTGTTAGCCCATTTTATTCCTGTGAAAGGTAATGCAGTTTCTTATTTCACTTTCTTAAATGGCTCCTGTAGATGCTAAAGAACAACAAGATTAAATCTTCAAGAATGTTGACCTTTTGGAAGGTTACACTTCAAGATGAACATTACAATATATATATGATCCATTGAGGCCATTGCACAGCAGGCTAGAGTAAACAGACTCTTCTGATACAATTGTCATGTGACTCATATCTTGTTGTGTTCAGTTTGCCATGTAGTAGGGAAGATTTTTGCTTGATGACCTAAATCATGGTAGGAGCTCAGCTTTACTCTGTTGGCAACCTCTCTTTTAATAAATGCATGAGAGTTGAGTATTTATGCTGTTGACATGATCAAATTAGAAATGTTGTCTTTTGTGCAATTTTCATATTGAAGAATTCATTCATTCACTTCCTGTAGATGGACATTTGGACATAGGGCTTTTGGGTTCTATAAAAGGAATTTCAGTGACAATCTTTCTGAAGTTGCTCTTATATTTTTTGTTAAAAGGAACCTAAAGCCATGGCAAACTATGTAGGTTTTGCTAATTTACCGAACCAAGTCCACAGAAAATCTGTCAAGAAAGGATTTGAATTTACCTTGATGGTTGTGGGTAAGTGTTTCATTCACTTGTTGAACAAAAAGGATTTGTTCTCTTCTTATAACCTGATACAAGTGTTACTGTTCAATCCCTATAAATAAAGCTTTGAACAGGATTGCTTAAATATTATCTTTGTGGCTCTGCAGATGAAGCAAACTGAAATTTTTGAATTGCTGGAATTTTTATGGACATTTTCAGTTTTATTGACCTTAAGGGAACAACTTTCATTTTGTCACCAAAAAAAGGTATCATAATAAAGGAAATAATGTCAGCAAATTGTATGTTATTTAATCTGTTGTTAGAAGGAAATTATTGGAGGTTACTTAACATGTCATTTATGAAAAATACTTCATACACAAAGTGTGGGATTGAATAAAGACTGATGTAATATGATGAGACTGATGTGTCATTATTATAAACTAGTTAGAAGTTATTTATTCATTTTGCACACTAAGAGTGTCCCTACATGAGCAAGGTCTGGGTGAGACCTAAAGTTACATGCTGGGCAAATAATGGTTTAGTTTTCTTTTTCTCCTGCAGTACACAATTTATGCTTGAATATGGTAAAACAGCTTCATAGTAGTCTATTGCTAATAACATTTTCATGGAAGTAATTGTTATTAAACTGAGGCTAAAATCTTACAACCCGTCCTACCCCTCTGGTAGTTGTCTAATTTGTTACCCTTGCATTACAGGTGAATCAGGGCTGGGAAAGTCAACTCTCATCAACAGTTTGTTTTTAACAGACCTTTATGCAGACAGAAAACTACCCAAAGCTGCTGGTGAGGCCTTTTTAATAAAGATTAAATTTTTTACTCCCAATTTCATAATATTATTAGGGATCTTGAGCAAATGACAATGACAACAGCAATGAGAAAATGGCAAAACAAAAGATCTCCTGAGCAGAACAATAGCTCAAAGTGTGCATTTTGAAACCTTGTCTATTTCTTAGCCATCCCCTGCAAAACAGCAATGTGAAAATCACCTTAAGTTGTGGGGTCTGAGAATGGAAATCTGTATGGAAAATTATTCAAGTATCCATTTGGAACTCAATGCTGTTCACATGCTGAGTTGTTCACATGTTGCAGTTGAAGTTTGTCGCCGTAAGAGACAGTAAACACATCCAGCCATTCAGGAAATTCTTAATTAAAAATAAAAACTTATTGTTTAATGGATGCCTTTGTGTTGTTGCTCTGACTGCTCAAGGTCCATGCGGACTTATTTAGCACTCAAACCCATTAATTTACAGATTGTGTAAAGAGGACAGTAAAGATTGAGACATCAACAGTTGAAATAGAAGAAAGAGGGGTGAAATTACGTCTGACTGTTGTAGACACTCCTGGCTATGGTGATGGCATGGACAATAAAGACAGGTTAAATTTTTTTTTCTTTTACAAAGTTATACCTTACAAAAGCCACATTAGGGGTAGGCGAGTGTGGGCAACATAGAGAGGTGACTGTAATATGGAGAAGGAGGGGTATAAATCATCAACAGTTTTTTCAGGTGTTCATTATAATTGTGATTATTGAGAAGAATGATGCTTTCTCTGGCAATTGAATATGAAAAATAATCAAGATATGAATTAAAAGACAGTTGAGGTATATCTATGCCAGAGGGTCACAGGGAGTAGAGAAGGACAGGGCTGTTTATCTTTTGTTTTATACTAGGTTAAAGTTAGAAAATAGGACATTCTTGAATTTCCTTGCATGAAAATACTTGACTATATGATGCATCCTAAATCTGAGACAATTCAAAGTTGATAAGGCAAAATTTCTTTGCAAAAATGCTGTGCCTTATAACAGAAAAAATACGGCATGTTGGTTCGATTTTTATGAAATAGGTATTTGTAGTTTTGATGACTCTGTTCTATAAAAAAACTGAATTATTCTAACCAATAATCCTGTTTACAAAACCTGGATGCCTTTGCTTGTTAAACAAATATGGGTCGTATATAGTTATAGGTCTTCTAAAATATACTATATATATATATATATATATGTATGTGTGTGTGTTTTCTTTAGGGTTGTTTTGTTTTTTTACTGTTGTTATTTTTCTTAAAGCTTCCCTGAAATTCAAGAGTAAATAAAGGTTATTTATGTCTGTATGTATTCATCAGTGTTAATTTTTATCACTCACAGTTTCAAACCCATTCTGGATTATGTGAAAGAACAGTTTGAAAGTTACCTCAAAGACGAATCAGGACTCAACCGACGGCACATCGTGGACACAAGAGTACATTGTTGTTTTTACTTTATAGCTCCAACAGGACATGGGTTAGTTATGTTCTTAGCAACAATTTTTTAAAGATAAATAGAATTGTTTTTGTGGCAGTTATGTCAGCTTGAGTATGCCAAGTTTCATTTTGAATTTTGTTTCAGGCTCAAGCCTCTTGATATCGAGTTTATGAAACAGCTACATGACAAAGTCAACATTGTTCCCGTCATTGGAAAGGCTGACACCCTGACCCCAGCTGAACTGAACAGCATGAAACGAAGGGTAGGTCCAAGGTCCGGTGGGTTTAGGGACAATGAAGGATCATTTACTAACATTACTATTACAAGTACACTGTACCTAACAGTTGGTGCTATCTCTAAAAAAGAAATTGTGATGGGGTTCTAAATAGGAGCAGTGAATGACAAAGAAGTTAAATGTTCTGTTACCTTTGACTGTTTTTTTTTTCTTCAACTTTTGAACTTCATAGGTGTTATTTTACTCTCATTGCCTTTCATCAATTTTTCTCCCATTTAGGTTTTAGATGAAATTGACGAACAAGGTATCAAGATTTATGAACTCCCAGACTGTGAAAGTGATGAGGATGAAGAATATGTGGAGCAAACAAAACAACTTAAGGTGATATATTGAGATAAATTAACCATAATTTGCAAAAATAGTATGGCATCCTCTTTGTTAGGTAAGGTCCCAAGCATACAGTGGTAAGAGAATCACACAACCTCCCAACCTGACTCAAGGGTGTGGCCACAAGGTTGGTCTAAGGATGCAGGCACATGACCCCCCTCTTGATAAAATTAAATTGAAATCTGTCCATATTAGAACAATTGGCTTACCCTAAAATGCCTGTAAGATGCTTGTGCAGGATCTCCCTTTTAAAACCTTGAATAAACTCCAGTGGCCAACAAGATAACTAGATTGGCCAGGGACAAAAGATGAGATAAGGCTCCAGGAACCACACAGTCCAAACTTTAAGCTTGCCCCTTTAGTTTGTTGTATGCAGACTTCTGCATAGAGGATATTGCTTACACACATACATTTTTACACTTCAGAACATCAAACCTGACATGCAACTAAAGAAGGCTTTTTTTCATTATCATAATTGAATTTCTGCATTTTTAATTATCAGGCTAGTATGCCATTTGCTGTGGTAGGAAGTAATACTTTGATAGAAGTCTGTGGCAAGAAGGTGCGAGGGCGGCTCTATCCTTGGGGAGTGGTTGAAGGTAGGACATATTTGTGACGTTAGTGTAGTCAAGTACCACAGTGCTTGTAGGTAACGATAGGAAAGCTTTTGTTGGTGACAGTGCTTTTTCCCTTTTCTTTCAGTTGAAAACCCAAAGCACTGTGACTTTGTGAAGTTACGTACCATGCTTGTGTAAGTGTCTCTGAAACTTTTTCTTTATAAGTGGTCCATTGGTAAACAGTACAACAAACATACACTATAAGCTGACAATTGCTTAAAAACGAGTCTTCCTTTACAAGCCATATTAACCTGCTGTGTGTTTTTATTATGTGTAGTAACTGGACTTGGGTATCTGTGTGATGGATTTGCTTCTCATGGGGGGTTAATGTTAATGGGACCAGGGTGGTGGGGTGATGAGTAGCAACACTTGTGGTTACTTCATGCTACTAAAATTGGGCCAGTCTCTGGCAGGATGGACCACCTGGGTCTGAAACTGACCTTACCAAATAGCTAAGTTACAACGTGTGCAAAATGCTGCTGCCAGACTAATTATGGATATCAGGAAGTATTCTCACATTACTCCAGCACTTTATGAGTTACACTGGTTACTAGTACTAGCGCGTATACACTTTAAGATCCTATTATTAACTTTTAAAGCCATCCATGGCCTCACACCTGCATATATTAGCAATCTTTTAGTTATCAAATGCAAGTCCTTGTACAATCTTAGATCTAACTCAGGTATTTTATTAGAGCCACCTAGAGGTAAAATGCTGGCAACCCTGGGTAATCGTGCATTTCAGGCAGCTGCACTGCATCTATGGAATGAGCTACCATTGCAATTATGCAATATTCGATCTGTAGAAATTTTTAAGAATTCAATTAAGACTTTTCTTTTTAGGCAAACCTTTTAATAGTAGTTAAATTATGAATCCTATATAGCCAATTTAACTGTAATATGTAATTATTTTTTAATTAGATGAGATTTTAATATTTAGAGATATCAATTGTAAAGCGCTATTGATCTGTTATTGTAAATAGTGCTATATAAGAAATAAATTATTATTATTATGATTATTATATTACCATTGATCATTTCTCGCAGTACTCACATGCAGGACCTCAAGGAGGTGACACAAGAGAGTCATTATGAGAACTTCCGAGCAGCTCAGCTGTCAGGTGAAACTGAGCTCTCAAATGGGGACATTGAAGATGCTCCAAGGAATGGCAAAAGGTGAAGTGACATGTTTGAAATGTGGAGTCATGTGGCATCTCATTGAAACGTGAGATCTCTCTAAATAAATACTCTCTCAAGTCTTACTTGTCTTATTTACAGAGCTCATAACGTTACAAATGCCATCATCGAGAAAGACCGTGCCTTGATGGAGAAAGAGGAGGAGGTTAGTACTCAGCCAAGCAAGACAAAAATATAATGGAAAACATGTTTTGATTAAGTAATTGACCCATTGAATGTATGTCTACCTCTCTGTTTGTTGGTTTGTCAGGCAGTTTGATTGAATTAATTGATTGATTGATTGATTGATTGGCAGATTGATGCACTGGCTACCTACTTGACTGACGTATGGACTGACTGTCAGACATGCTGACAGATTAATGATTTTTTTTTATTGAGCAAATGAGTGATTAACTTGTTGATGGGATGATTGATTTTCAGCTTCGGCGAATGCAGGAGATGATTGCAAAGATGCAGCAACAGATGAAAAGTCAGAGCTAGTGAGCCTAAGGCGATTTGGAACCACTGTGAAATAACTCCCAAGTGATCAGTATTATGGACTAGAAACAAGAAAGTAATTGCGTGATAATCTCATGGTGACATCTGTAGGATTACATGGGGCTAGCATTAATGTGGCCATTTGACAGTGGCAACATGGACAAAGAAAACAAAATAGGTTACATAAATTAGGCAATTATTTGATGCTATCAAATTAAGATGTTTTTACTAAATTTATAGAATGAAGATAACTTTTAGACCCCTTCCCCTCCTGCATTGTTAAATCTTAAGATTTTACTGAAATATTCATAATTACATCTGTTTTATAACAATGCACAATTTTCCTTTTTTATCGTTTTTATCTTTTGCAAACAGTGAGAAGCATTTATACTGTCATATTTTATTGGTAAATTTCTACTACTGCACATGTTTTGTTGCTATTTTGCTGATATCTTTTGAAGTAGAAGTTTACGAAGATGTGAATGTATGAATGTATTATCCTTAAAGCACAATATTTTTGCCAAAGAGGCACAGGGGATTCCCATTTCTAATTTTAAATGTTGTTCTTGCAGTTTTTATCAAGTATCCCATGGTAGGTAGTGTTATTAAATAGCTGTTAACTATCACACAGGTCTAATGGAAAATTGTTGTATAAAAATCTAGGCAATATATTTATTAACAGCTTTAATTATATTTCGTTAGATGTAGCTCTCTATCGTAATGGTTTATAATATAAAACATTTTTTCAAGTGAATGGTGTAGTAGGTTAATGCATGTTTATAGTATTGTAGTCCGATCTCTACCAATTTTTCACATAGATGGCGTTAACAGAATTTGCAATGAAGTAGTTCATTAAAATTGAAAAGCTGTCGTTCTGTGTTGGTTTCCTGCGTTTATAGCCGAAGTAAATTATAAGCTCTAACAAAGAAAGGTATCATACAGAGTCTTGTACTCTGGTAAAAGTATTAAAAATTTGTGAACTTATTAACAAGACTTGGGGAAAAGAATGGAAAAGGAAAGGTAAACTATGTGAAGAACCAAGAAGTCATCTAAAATTTCTGAACTCTTGTAAATTACCTCGAGCTAGGGTGAATGCAAGCAAAACAAGGGAAAGGCTCTGTTTGGGTTAACATCCTGTCTAGAGTGAATAGCAACGATCCTTTACTTTATGCTGTGGACACAGAGATGAACTCTGATGCTATGAGCCACCACTAGTTTTGTGTGCAGTATCTTTTTTCCACTGTCCAACAGCCTACACGGAAAAACAAAGGGAAAAGGAAGAAGATTGAATTAGGTGGACATTTCCCCTAAATCTGGTGTTTTTTTGTAAATGTACTTTATTTGTTCGCGCTTTGAAATTTCTTTGATGAATTTTGTTAATTTTTTTGTTTTGTAAGCGGGGGATAAGAATAAGAAAGAGTTCATTCAAGGAGACATTCAGGTAGAGTTCAGATTCTACTCTAAGCTTACAGAAAATTATATTTAAATTGCTCTTTAAATTCGTCGAAAACTATATTTTCCTTATATGGTCAGTTCCTCCATCTCCTCTTCGATTACTTAGAATTGCTGAATGACCTCCTGTATCTGAAAATATTTTTTATAATCTACTTCAAAGTTTTACAACTGTTCCTCCGATTAAAACTACGAACACTAATTTTCTAGAAGGAATATGCAATGTAGAACTATACTTCCTCGTAGTCTTAGAGAAATAATATTTAACTTATATACATGTTGTGAACATATTGGGTAATTTTAAATGACTGCCGATGTTAATCAACACCAAGCAAAAACGCGATCAGGCTTCTTCACGAGTTCCAGCTAATCCATTGGTACATAAGAACCGAGTACGAACAGACAGAGCACATAACTGTTGAATAAAAGTCCACAAAGCGATTCTTTAGTTTTCTCGTCATCTTTAGAATCGTGAGTTTTTTCATGCGTGGTCCAGTGAGCCAAATGCGTCAAACATCTTCTGCATTCCAAACCACTTTGCGCCTGTGCGGAAAACTGGTCTTTGGATCTCAGCGAGTGTGCAGAAGGCAAATCTGCCATTGACATAATTCCTGTTGGTTGAGAAAATTCTGCTTCATGAATATCTTTAGAAGATAAATTGTTCAGTATGTGATTCCTTTTCTATCTTTTCATTTTAAAAACACGTTCTAGCACGTTGCATGAACATCGGCGCAGAAATTGATGACATTTTCATTACAAAATGTTGAGAATATCATGGCTAAGGCTAAGATTTTCTTTCATTCAGTGTGTGTTGATGGAAAGTAAACGCGACAGAAGTCTCACAAAGTGTATTTTAGCCCAACCTTTTTCAAGATAGGCTAACATAATTGCGTGACGAAGACACCCACTCATTACGTGACAATTACGAGCGACGTGTTAGGATCAAAAGGAAGTAAAATGTATCTCAGTGTGGCTGTTACGCTCCTACAAAGTAAACGTGATTCAGCAGGTAAATTTGTTTACTTCCTTGGCTCTGATTCACCATTCTTTCGGCATTTTATTACATTACTTACAACACTCATAACCCTTTGTCTATTTGAATTAACAAAAAAAAAAAAAAAAAAAAAAACAGATAAACACTTCAACTTTGCGATTAGAACCCGTCAGAGAAGTATTGTTAACAATACTTCTCTGGCAGGTTCTAATCGCAAAGTTGAAGTGTTTATCTGATTTGGATATCTGTTTATCCCATCAGGGGAGGCGACGGCAGTGAACGCTCGATTTTAATATTTATGATCAAACTAATGGAGATCTTTACAGATAACATGTGCGAAATTGTATAACACCAAAAGTATATTCTGTAAGAATAGTATGCAAAGATAAATTCTGTCAAGCTCATATACCTCACTAAAAGGACTCAGATCTGATCATTTTACCTGTATTTATAAATTCAGTCCTATGCAAGTCCTCTCCAGGTTTATTAATTTCCATTTTCTGGAATCCTGTATCAGTAACCTTCGCGTTTTGAGAAAGTGTTCTTGAATTTATTGAGGCAGTTAAATTGTTTCTACCCTGCATCACAGACAAGTATCTTTGTTTGTTCATTTTCAAAATCGCTCCGCGTAACAACGTCCAGGTCTTAGTGGCCATGGAGTCTGGTGAAAACCTTGAAAATAACGACTTATTTTTCCTTGCTTTCTGTGCCTTGATCTCTGGAAAATCGGCTGAGGACGAGTAACTGTCGAGACCACAGTTGGTTTGCGGAGTTGAAATCAGTCGCTGCAAACGAAAGGCGAATAAGTTAAGTAATAAACTTGCTATCCTATCCTTTGTGTTTGCTTCATCGGATTATGTGACGTCACAGTCCTGTCGCAAGTCACGTTTTTCTAGGGGTCGCCAACACGTACCAAATATTTGATGTGTTGCTCTGTGACTGTTTTCCTGAAATTTGAACAAAGAACACTTGACTTCGCCAGCTTTGAACCCTTATCATTGCCTGGCTAGACAAATTTATCTATCAGACAAAATGTACGCTACTGATTAAGCCGGCAGAGATTTGCGTGCTTTGTCTACAGTCTCAATAGACAAATTTATCTATCAGACAAAATGTACGCTACTGATTAAGCCGGCAGAGATTTGCGTGCTTTGTCTACAGTCTCAATAGACAAATTTATCTATCAGACAAAATGTACGCTACTGATTAAGCCGGCAGAGATTTGCGTGCTTTGTCTACAGTCTCAATACGCTGTTATTTATTGATCTGTTTTGTCAACAAACTTTCTTCTTACATCTTTCACTTGAAATTCTACTTGTTTCGATGAAATTCTTTGGTTGTTACAAAACTTCGTAGCACTCACTTAGTCTTCCTGTTTGTTCTGTGTTTATTTTTTGAAGGAATTGAGTATAACAAGAACCATGTAGAAAATAGAATCTGGAGTTAACTGATTATTTGCCCCACGTAATCTGTATCATGTCTCTGCTTCGAAAGGAGCCAATGAAGCTAAACGGGTAACACCTCGGCTTAAAATACGACTTTTCGCTTCTTTTGCTTGACCTAGCGAGTCAATTGGATTCCTCGGAAAAAAATACTTTTTACCTTGTGATTTTTTTGCGATGTCGGCCCAATTCTTCTCAAATTGCCCTTTATTATGGAGAACGTTTTCGTAATCTCTCTACCGTTTCCCGGCTGACAAACGTTTGAAGCTAATTTGCTCTCTTGCACTGAGCGATCAAAGTGAATTATAACGTAGAGAGTGAAAAAGTACTTTTAAACATAAAGTAGCAGTGTGCACTTTTTGCTCCCCTTAGAGAACTCGTGTCCGTGAAACAGTAACCCAACTGGACCAATAAATGGGAAGGTTTCAAAGTACTTGTCCAAATTATTATTTTGATCCTCCGTTGTATTTCATTTGTTTAGACAATAAGCTATCCGACTGAAGTTTGCCGCATTTCGTTACCAGTCCCCTCTACTAACTATATGTTTAGACCCAAGCCAAAACGTGAGGCTCATCATGACCAGACATAAAAATGTGACTTCTTTCGTAGAAGTCCTAAACGACCCGATATTATCAAATTTCAGTATTTTTTCCAGAAATTTTAGGTTTCTACGCAAAAATTACCATTTATGCTTTTGTCTTTAAAATAAAATGATCATCACTGATGCTTTGGATTAAATTTGCATAGTCATTTTGTTCTTACTCGACACATCACGTTCGCTAACATCACCCTTGTGCGTCACGCATTCCTAAGTTACTAACGAAGAAAGGGTGAGACCAAGCTAGTCACGTTTAAATTCTAATCAACTTCTATTAATGTTTTTGCAATCTTTGTCAGGCAGATCACGTGCCTGAGCACATGGTTTGAAGAAATGGCTGCCTTTGTGGACAATTCCTTGCAAAGTCACACCATTCGCGGTAGACCCACACTAAAACTTGTGGAGCGTTTTGTGATTAAAATTAAAACTAAAATTGTGGATTTATCTTGCGCCGTTTCCATGACGGGATGATCAGCTACGAAAGTGAGATAGAATGAATATATGAAGTTCATATATTTTGAACTGCGGTATTAGATACGTATGATGCACGATCCTCGCAGTAGATAGCGCTATTTATGCAATAGCGAAAATCAGACCTAGTATCGCAGAGGTCAGTGGTTAGAGTCCCGTACAGGCCTGATTATTTTTTTCAGGTCTGATTTTCGCTATTGCATAAATAGCGCTATCTACTGCGAGGATCGTGCATCGTACGTAACTGCGAAAGTGTTAAGGATGATGTAGATGTAGATGTAGATGTAGAACGGGTCGGTCCGTGAACTTTAAGGGAGATGAATTTACGAGCGATCCTATACGAGTGAACCTTCTATCGAGAATTATCAAGCGAAACCTGCTATATCAAACGAGCTACCTCATATTATGTTTACAAGTAAACACCACCGTGTATATAGACGCGATCGAGAATCCAGTAGAATACCAAAAAGCTACTCTGAAACGTCTCAGAAGAAAGGGCAGAAAACTGAAGGAATTTATTTATGAGCATATTCGTCCAAGCATACGGAACAACATTCATTACACTCCAGCAGACAAAAATAAAGCTGACGTTTCGAGCGTTAGCTCTTCGCCCTTCGCTCTGACGGGTAGTTACGAAAGCGAAGAGCCATACGAAAACGAAGATCCATTACGAAAACGAAGATCCATTACGAAAACGAAGACCCCCTACGAAAACGAAGACCCTCTACGAAAACGAAGACCCTCTACGAAAACGAAGACCATTACGAAAGCGAAGACCCCCTACGAAAACGAAGACCCATCACGAAAACGAAGACACATTACTAAAACAAATTCAAAAGAGATTGATATTACCTTGTGGACAAAGATTACCGGTTTTCGTTTTCGTAGGGAGTCTTCGTTTTCGTAATGGATCTTCGTTTTCGTAGGGGGTCTTCATTTTCGTAATGGGTCTTCGTTTTCGTAATAGGTCTTCGTTTTCGTAACTACCCGCTCTGGCGAAGGGCTAACGCTCAAAACGTCAGCTTTTTAACTCTTTACGGTGGCCAATTTACAATTTCAACTTAATTGATATAACCAAATGAACTTGTTACTCCCACCGACGCAGCACCACAGTTTCTTTAGAAACTTACCCTTTAGACAAAAATAAACACAAGTAGACTTATTCATGACCGGCAATTACGAAATTGCGTGATGACAGTAACAATGGCAATATGGCAGTCCCCTAAGGATAACTCCAGATGTGCGATATTGAAAGCCCGAGTTCATGCAGCTATGCGTCTAGTTCACCCTTAATAAGACGAAGATGTGTTGTAGCTATAGGAACTGTAAAAACGTGCCGGAAAATATTAGATGACCGTTCCTTTACCGGAAATAAGTGTTTATAGAACACCCAGCGTTCACGTTTTCCTACTTAGTTCTTAGATAGCAACTTTATGACACGTGTCCCGGTGGCTAATAACGTCAATAACCAACTAACAACTGCAAGTTTAGATTCCACCCCGTTCCCCTGAACCCAAACTGACTTGCACTTGCTCAATTATAGGGGTCTAGTAAATTGGGCCGAAGAGGGTCCACTTGTAGAATTATACGTGAATTCCTTTCCTAATGTCACTGATATGCGACAGCGAATTGTCACAGGTAAATCCATTTCATGAAGTGATGTGTTTATTGACTATGAAATTTGTGTTCTTTTTTCAAGTCCATCAAATTAAAATTCTACGCCGTACTGAACGATTTCGAGGAAGAGTGTGTTCTTCAATGGCGCCCTGTGTTGGAGTTTTTATCATACTGCTTGGTCATTGGCTCATATTAACCGGATGTCAATACCTTTTGATAGGGAAATTGTTAATTCCTCTCGGATATGCCGGACAAAAATGAATAGGTCACGATCACAGTTCCATCACCCAACACGCACTGTACAACACCATACTCCAACCTCATTATTTATCCCTAAGATATGAAGGTGAAGGAAATTTTCAAAATGCAATCATACGAAGCTAAAATCGGAAGTTTTAAGCGTCATCATACTCCTTGGTGATAAGGTCCCCGAACGGGTCAAAAGTGTACTCAATGATTTAGCTCACTACGTATTGCACCACCAAGTGTTTGATTGACAACGTGACGTCAAAAAGATGACGTCCACGTACTTCCAAATAAGCGGAGTTTTTCACGTGCGACTTAGGTCTTTTGAAGAGTATAAAACGAGGAAAAAATCCTCTTCTGTTCAGTATTGCCAACTTCAATTTCAGAACCTTTTTCCAGATTAAATAATCTTCTTCCATTCAGCAACAATGGCTCTGTGTAAAGGTCTCCAGATGAACACAGTGATGAGAATTTGCATCCGAAATTACGGATTTACTGCTATTCAACGAGACTATGGACCAGAAGCGGTGAAAAATCTCCGCGGTTCTCTAAAGATAGAGTACACCTTAGCCACACGAGGGGCACAGCGGCTTTGGGAACTGATAAATCGTGGAGAAAAGTCGTATGTCAACGCTCTTGGCGCCATGACAGGTAGTCACGGAAAATATTCCTTTAAGTTCTTTACAAAGTAAAAGTGCGCTAAATTTGCTTTAAAGCATTTTTACTTTGGTTCTTTCTCATGAGTACAACTTACTAATGATCTCATCATAATAAGCAATCTTACAACAGTTGATGAAGCTTGTGTTATTTCTTTTCAATGTATCCTTCTCAGAGCGGTCAGAATAGGAAGTTTTTTCATCGCTTTTAGCAATGATCTTGAATATTTTCATGCAAGTTACTTAGCGACTTGTGCTATTTTCCCTTTTAGCTCGTACAAGCGATGAAACTCTCTTCTTAATAATAATAATAATAATAATAATAATATCAATTTCTATTGCGCATTTCCATGCAATGTTCTAATGCGCTTTACAACACTGTGCGAGGGACTTTTCCAGACTACCAGCGGCAGTTTACAATTAATAAAGAAGGAATTTTACAGATGCCCCCTCCCCCCAATTCCTAATAAACAGGCCAGACCACCTCACAGTAATCTCGTGAAGTGGTTCTTTCACGTCCCCTGCCTAACCAAATTAACTTCATCAGAGTTAGAAATGAAAGTGATTTTTTTTCTTTAAAGAAAAAAAAGAACATGCACCCAACCATGTAGCTGATACAATAATGACAGATTTAAAACGGATTAGTCATATTTTTCCTCTAGTCATACACATTGTGTTCATTGTGCTTTACATCGTAGCCTTCCAAGGTAATCATCCATGAAACAATAATCAATCGATCGATAAACTCAGCTCCACATTAGAAACATCTGGGCACACTAAATACCGCCTCCTGGTTAACTCAATTGGTAGAGTGCCGGACGGTTTTGAAGGAGGTCGTGGGTTCAAGTTCCGGCCGGACCAACACTCAGGGTCTTAAAATAACTGAGGAGAATTTGCTACCTTTCTATAATATCAAGAAATGGATAGATATTCTAGTCTTCTCGGAGAAGAACGAATAAACCGTAGGCCCCGTCTCCTGCAGGGTTAGGGGTAGGGGACGTAAATTTCCCCTGCACGAGATTACTGTGTAGTGGATTTCCTCCCCTGGGGTGGGATGGGTGGGTTAACTGGGCCCGCAGTAATTGGCGCAAGCTGTTGCGGTGTCCTTGCCTGTCGGCGAATATAATAAGTAACCGTAATATAAAAAGAAACATTCTTGATCATGACAGATATATTTTGCCCGTTCCGAGTCCCTAAGCTCTAATTGCGTACGTTTTGCAATTAAACATTGTATCACGGAATCTGACCGCAGTTATGACTTTCTGCAGGTGGCCAAGCTGTTCAGATGGCTAAGGCCGGTTTACAATCCATTTATCTGAGTGGCTGGCAAGTAGCGGCAGACAGTAACATGGCGAGCCAAACCTACCCTGATCAGAGTTTGTATCCCGCAAACTCGGCAGCAAAGCTTGTTGAACGAATCAACAATGCCTTCATCAGAGCAGATCAGATTGCACACATGGAAGGAAATGATCAGCATATTGATTTCTTTTTGCCAATTGTGGCTGATTGTGAGGCTGGGTTTGGTGGCCCGTTGAATGCCTTCGAAATCACGAAATCCATGGTAAGTGTTACAAAAGTTTCATTTTGTAAATACGAGTCGCTAATGAACAGAACCCTGAGTAAACTAAACTCTAGTAGCAAAAACATCAAGCTGAACTTAAGAGTCCACAATCAAGAGAAATGAAATCTAAGATTCAAGCAATAACAGAAATTTCTCATTTTTCCAAATTCAAACCAAGTATCCGTCCCATAGAGCGCGAGAAGACCTAAAGTTAAAAAATCTCCTTCCTAAGAAAAAAGACCCTTTGCGAAGGACAAAGAAATCTCCGAAAGTTCTAATATTCATAATCAAATAGCCGATAAGATAATTGGCTCAAACTTAGCTGGGATTCCATTTTTTTTTATCAACTCAAACAGATTACAGCCGGTGCTGCTGGCGTCCATTTTGAAGATCAGTTGGCATCAGAGAAGAAATGCGGCCACATGGGAGGAAAGGTTCTTCTACCGACACAACAGTTTATCAAAGTCTTAAACGCTGCTCGCCTTGCTACTGACGTTATGGGTGTTCCCACTGTTATCATTGGACGAACAGATGCCGAGTCAGCAGCGCTTGTGACGTCAGATATCGACCCACGTGACCAGCCATTCTTGACTAGCGAAAGAACAGCCGAGGGATTCTATCGATCAACCGCTGGCTTACAGCAGGCCATTGCTCGGGGACTGAGTTATGCTCCATATTGTGATGTGATTTGGTGTGAGACAGGTAAACCTAACTTGGACGAGGCACACATGTTCTCTGATGCAATCCATTCCATGTTTCCAGGAAAACCACTCGCATACAACTGCTCGCCTTCCTTCAACTGGAAAGCCAACCTCAGCGATAAAGAGATAGCTGAGTTTCAGAAAGAACTCGGTAAAATGGGCTACAGATATCAGTTTATTACCTTAGCCGGTTTCCACTCGCTTAATCACGCTATGTTCAAGTTAGCACGTGACTACAGAGATCACGGCATGTCTGCCTACACCAAGATTCAAGAAGACGAGTTTGCGCAAGCGCAATTCGGCTTCACAGCACATAAACATCAAAGGGAGGTAGGGACGGGATATTTTGACCAAGTGAGTATGGCGGTCAGCGGAGGAACGAGTTCAACGACAGCTTTAGAAGGATCAACCGAAACAGAACAGTTTACTAACGACGACTTGGACTTAGGAAAGATCAGTGCTAATCAGTGAGAAACTGAGATCGTTCCAATATGATCTGATAAAGTAACTAGAGAAAATCTAACTAGTGTACATAGGAACAAAATGACGGAAATTTTGATTAATATTTGACTGCGTTCCTTGATCACTGATACGAATAATATTATTTATAATTTATTGAGAGCATATAACAAAGTATTCTTACACGTTAATTTCTTAACTAGACGCCTAAATTTTTCCATCAACAAAATGTGTATACATCACTGTACATATGGTGCGTAAAGAGAATAAAGAGTTCTTAAACAAGCCGAAGGAAGGTTTGCTATTTCAAGGCTTTACGAACCCGTATGTTGAAGCAGTAAGTGGTTTCCGTCACGCTTTTAACATTAATTGACTAGGTTTTAAAATCAAGTTGTGTTTAATCATGTCAATTATGCTACCCCTCCATCTTTGTTCGCGAAAATAACAAATTACTTCAAAATTTTACATAGTTGTTATTTCACAAAGTGAAAGTTTATTTCACATAAAAGGCTTAAACTCAGCCTTTACAACTGCATGATATGTATACTGATAAACCTTTGCTAGAAAATTTAATCTAGGTTAATCTAAAGCTGCTGTCTTCATCGTGAAGTCACAATATGACACCTGCTGAGGCCTAGCGGCCAGCAAATATCCATATGAAGGAAAACAACTTACTGTTATAAAGATCAATGACCAAGAAAAAAACCGTGACCACTTGTGTGAAATAGGAATAAAGATATACAAGAACTGGTTAAGGGACATTTAAAATAATGAACTATTGAGTTTTCATCAGGAGCGCATATACACTCATATCACGACAGGCAATCACAGCAAAGAAAAACATCACAACAGATCAGTGGGTAATGAAGATCAGCCGAAGCCATGAATTGTTTACATTTCCCAAATTCATCAGCGTTAACATTATCGGTGACTTCATGACGTCAAACGTAATTCAAATTTAACATCATCTTCAAGCAAAATTGTCGGATGAAAACTTTTCTCGAACAGTACTGACGTCCTTGAGTTAATTGGTCCTCGTGATCTCTTACCGACACGTATTTATTTCTAGAAGTCTCTGATTTCTCCAGGCTTTTTTTCTCGTGTGGGTTTCTTGGTAGTCACGTTCCTCTGGTGTCTTTGTTAATATCAACTTCACTTCACGGAGGCGGTTAATCAAGGAGGCGCTTGTTTGAAATTTTGGCCTGGGGGGAGAGTGGGGTGGCCTCGGAGTGGAGAGTACGTATTAGAGCGCTGCCGCTTATTCGAGAAAATACGGTATTTAGGTTTCATAATCTTAGGTAACCACTAGGGCGTATCTGGCTCTTTGACTCATTCTGAGAAATCGCACGATCGACCCGTAAGATAAGGACGCTGAGGTAATAGCTCGCGTTTTGTTAAGACGGCTATCTAAATATATTAATTCAAAATGTAACATCAGGTGCACACTTACAATCGGTAGAAGTTTTGATGCTGAATTTAAGACGATCTTGTCACGTCTTTCTCTTTTGTCGCTTTAACTGGCCAAGGGGTGATAATAAGGTTCAAATTCGCCCCATCAATTTGTCTAATTGTCGTATTCCTGTAAATCGTATTGGTTTCTATTAGTCAACCTTAAGTAAAGGGCGTTTGCTCATCATTTTCCACCCTTCAACTCCTGTGACACGTTTTCTAAGGAGGCGCCAACATCAAGTCCACCACCAGCAGATACAGTCGAAATGTCGGGTCATTTTTTTTTTATTTTCACCTAAATATTTTTGTCATGTAGTAATTTTCCCATCAATAGTGCTCTGCCGCTACTTTTGTTATGTAAATATCGCAAGAGTACGAGGCTTTTAAATCACCGCCATTTCAATTTAAAATCACGTTTACTTTAACCCTTCAACTGGCTGCCATGTTTTCCTTTCAAATTAACATCGAAAATTTGGTTTTAGATCAAAAAAATAACTTCTACCTGATAAGTTTGAATATTCTTATCATCTGTTTGCTGGACCGGATAATATAGAGGGAGAAGTTACATGTTAATCACCTCAGGGAGTTAAAGAGTTAAAGATATACACTCTCTATTTTTAATTCCTTGATTTATGTACTCAAGAACTTTGGTTTGAATAAAGGTCACGAGCCGTTACTGTCGAACTTAATCTGGACACTTATTTAACAAAAACAGGTGCACTTTCTGATCGTTCTTACTTCATGGTGCCAGAGCATAACTCTGCTTAGGTATTTTCAACAAATAACATCCACAAATAGATGAAAATAGCTAACTGTTTTATGGCGGATATCGTAATTTGTCCTTTCAATTTATATGATTACGAAATATAAAGTGTTGTATTGACCCAAGCGTGAGATAAGGAAAACTTACTACACCAAATGAGATTCTGCAGTGGACTTGTATGCAGTTGTCGCTGCTTCACTCATTCTGATGCAACATTCAGTTCATAAGACGAGTCAATGGAGGAAACAGTTCACATTATCTTAGGAAGGCCCACCCACCTTTTGTATCCGAAGAAGAATTTTCTGGAAAAATATCTAAAGCGGCTGAGCAAAAGTATAAGTTGGCAGATACAAAACCTATTAATGGCAACATCATTATTCATGAGCAGTCGCGAACTTTCAGCCATGAATTATTTGCATGTGTTAATTTGGCTCAACTCATCAGCACTGGTATCATCGGGGAAATGAAAGTACTCAAGATATTCAGTTAGTGATTCAAATCTAACTTTAAGCCTGCCATGAGCGGATAAGATTTTTTACTTGCTCTAAATGAATTGAGCAGTAGTTCCTTTTGCGTTTATCTCTATTGTCACTTGAATTTATCAGTATGAACACTTATCACCGGAGGATAAACTAAAATAATTGATTCTAAACTAACATAATTTTTGCCATTTACTCATGGAGTTTATATTCAAAATTTCGTCCAAAATTTACTTAGCTAAACTTACCAACCCCAAGTTGATGGTGTCTTGCCGCCATGTCCCTTAATCTGTAATGCGAATTCGAAGTCCTGAGGGTTTGTGTGACATCATCGTGCTACTCTGGCTTCTTTGTTATATAAAAAATCCCCTTGAAGTGCAGTGATTTTACATAATTGTCATTTTAATTCAGTCTACTCAAGGTCAGACTTCCGTAAACCGCTATACTTCTAATAGCCCTTATCGCATTTGTGTCTGCAATGCAAAGGGTCCGCGGAGTTACAGTTTCAGGACGAGGCTAGGCTATCGGGTCAACGTTTCTCGAGAAACACCAGAAACACTCCATGTCTGACCATATAACTCTGGAGTCTGCGTTTTTTCTGCCGAGGAAAAGGTTAAAATTCTTAGTGGTAATTGTCCTGGCATCACGAAAGGAAAATTGAAAGAATGGCTGTCATTTCGGAAAGGAACGGCGAAAGTTTGTCGTGTTTGTTCATGACTACGGTTGTTGTTCCTTTGTCGACCTTTTCGAGGTTTAACTCAGAGTCACGTTTCAAGGCTCTCAGCGCCTTGCGTTCGGCCGGAAGCAAATTATCGTTTGGCTCTGTAATTTCTATTTCTGAAAGGTCACTTTTAACCTCTTCTAAATAGCTTTCAAGGGCTATTGATTTTTGTATTGGTGCTATCCATGTAGATTTGACGAGGTAGGGATGGGTTTTTTGTCCTCCCCTCGGAATATGTAAAATCAGACGCATTCTCCTTGCGAACTGATCAAAGTGACACAATAGTTGTTGTCTGATCTGTTTTTGTTTTGTAGCGGGTGTTGGAATGAATTTAAGCCCTTTTGCCAGTAAATTAATCTGGTCGTTTGTAAGTTCTTTATTTGAGAGGTTTTTTTGTGTGCGTTTTGTTCGCCTTTAGTTTCATAGTTGAACGTGTTTGGCAAGACCGCGGTTTCGATCCTAATCTTGTGGATCTCGTCAGTTGCTGATTCACTGAATAGACTGTTACACCCGTACGCAACACAATGTCTAACCACGACGAGAACACGCTGTATCCTCAAGAAAATAAATAAAAATACCTCCAAACGTAGCCGTTTGCTTCGATTTTACTTGAAAGTTTTACCTGTGTGACCCGATAGCCTCGTTTCGAAACTTCAAAGTCCACTGAGCTCTCGTGCAGTGGGCGTAAATGCGATAAGGGCTATTGCGCAAACCGCTACAATTAAAAATAATAATAATTATAATTATAATAATAATGATAATTGCGGTTCTGACATCCTGTTTCGTGACCTTGGCCTGTAATGTAAATGAACGCAGCTAACTGCTATAAATATGAAAAGGACCACTTAACATTAAGTACAAACAGTGACTTTACTGGAATTGGTTACTTAGTTCGCGATCGCAGTATGCAGTTTTTGAGGCAACCGTTGGCTGTCAACAAGTTAAACAGAAGGTTATTTCCGAGACTTAGCACCCGAAAAAAATATCATATCGTATCAGCTCTACGAGACTATGGACCAGAAGTTGTAGAGAAACTCCGTGGGACTATAAAAGTAGAGTACACTTTGGCGAGGCGAGGAGCTGATCGGCTTTGGGAAATGATTTATCGAGGAGAGGGCTCGTACGTAAACGCTCTTGGCGCTATGACAGGTAGGGTCAGTCGGAGTAAAGCATGTTATGATAAATATATTTCCTTCCTTCTTGGAGGGTAATTAACAGATAATTTTGGTTTTATCAGTTGGGTTGATGATGAAAAATTGGCCACCAGAAAGAGTTTCAAAACTGACGTTTCGAGCGCTAGCCTTTCGTCAGAGCGAAGGAGGAATTGTGGGTTGCGTATGTGTTTATCTGCAGAAAATAGAGCTATGCTTGGTGGTCACATGGTAACGAGAAAAACAAGAACAAATTAATTGAATGAAAAGCGTTCGTTTGGGGATTAAGAGTGTCACATCAGCCTTTGGCTGCCCTATTTTAACCTACTCAAATAAAGTATGTACAATATGTATGTATGTATTTGAAAAATGATTTTTTGTTTTAGAGTTTTGTGGCTTACCGAACTGCCTAGATGTAAGGAAAGGCCGCAGACTGCCATATGCTGTTTAGAATGATTAGGCAGATTAGCAGCTGGTTTGGATGCGTCCTAGTCGTTCCTCTCTACGTCGCGAAGGTGTTCTCTGAATCGGTCACCGAGTCGTCTTCCTATTTCAGTAATGTGTACCTACAAAACTCTAAAACAAAAATTGATCTTTCAAATCGGCACTCTTAATCCCCTCGGTATGAACGAACGTGTCTCATTCAATCATTTGCTCTTAGCTAGTTTTTCTCGTTACCATGTTCCCACCAATAGCGTAGCTCCATTTTCTACATATAAACGCACACACAACCCACAATGAATGAGTTGCCAAAAACAGGATCCTTGCGCTTGCGCAAAGATTTCTGTGATCGCCACGGGGCAAACATTGCAGCCCGCAAAAAAGAAAGATATGGCGAAAGACAGTTTCGATGTTCAAAAACAACAATTTTTGAGAGAGATCAACGCTTTTTCGCCGCAGTTTTATCATAGATGGATTAAGATAATTTTGATAAAAGGTACTGAGGTGTAAGTTTTGGTGGAATTACCCCGAAATGTGTTATAAAATATACCGATAAACTTCTCTCCTTGCGTAAGGTCTATTGTGAAATAGTCGTCGCGTAATGGTCTCGACGTATTACAATATTAGCCATAAATCTCTAGGAAGCAACCCATTTACCAGTTGTACTTATGTATATAGAGCCTGTCTCCATATTTGTCGACGTATCAAATAAACAACTTACGACGTCTGAAAATATACCTCCTCAAAGGAGAGAAGTCGTCGTCAGCGTGATGGAAATGTTTTTTAACCGAGCTGTTGCTCTTTGAAAGGATATAATAAGTGATGAAAAACACGAGGAACCCCTGGGTCAAGCGATAGTTTATTTGGGCAAAATCCAAACGTTTTTGAGCTGCCACTTTTTCCCTCGAACTCCTTAGAGGATCTGTCTGGAAAGGCAAGATCACAGGAAGCCGGCAGAAACTGTAGACATACATTCAGATGCGCATCGCTCCTTACGCGACCCATGATGAGTCGCGTATGAATCGCCAAGAAATAATTCATTAAAGCCTTTTCAGTTTTATTTAACCGTGTTAAGTGTACCTCTAGCTATTTTATTGGCTTTGTATTACAAAGGAGCGCTGAAACAGCCACCTCGAAACAGCACAAGATTCAGTTGAAATGGTGTGCTTGAGCATTAAATATTACCGTGATACATTAAAGTGATTTAACACCTACATTGCTTATTTATTGTAATCCGGCTATGAGAACGAACCAGCGTTGATAATCGGCTTAAAACTAAACCTTTTCTTCTGCGATGCTGAGCAGGTAGCTCGGCTAAAAAACATTTCTCCTGATCACGCTAACAACAACTTCTCTCCCTTGAGGGGGACCGGTATATTTTCAGACGTCATAAGTTGTTTATTTAATGCGTCGACAAATATGGAGACAGGCTCTACATACATAAATATAACTGATAAGAATTAAATGAGTTGTTTCCTAGAGATTTATTGTAATACGTCGAGACCATTAGGCGATGGCTATTTTACCGGTAATAGACCTTACGCAAGGAGAGAAGTTTTCGTGTATATTTTATCACATATTACGGGGTAATTCCCACCAAAACTTACACCTACCTTTTATTAAAATTATATTAATCCATCTATGATAAAATTGCGGCGAAAAAGCGTTGATCTCTCCCAAAAATCGTTTATTGAACATCGAAACTGCTTTTCGCCATACATTACGCTCGAAACGTCAGCTTTGAACTCTTAACGGTGGCCAATTTACATTTGTTTATCAACTCAGTTGATAAAAGAAAAATTACCTTGTTATATTCCCTGACCGACGCTGCACCACAGTCTTTAGAAACTTACCCCCCCCCCCTTAATTAAAAGATTTAGGAATGCTTATGATATGGAATACGTGCGACAGTTTGAAATATCCATTCGTTTCTTGCCTTGGATGAGTCAATACCCATGTGGGCGTGATATGAAGATAACCTTTGTAAGAAAAAAAGAAACATCCTGGTTTCTAACTTACGAAAACGTTTTTTGAAAAATATCAATAGAGGATTTAAGGCTGTTTTTATACCGACACAACTCTAGGAAATTAACCACTTCTTAATAAACTTTAAAAGATCCTTCAAATTTTGCAAAAATACTTTTATTTGCTTGGTAAGCGTGTCCAATCATGAAGCTCATAAAATTAATTTTTTTCTCGGGAATCTTAAATTGCTTAACCAATTTGTCTTTGTATGTTATTGGAGATCAATCCCAGCAGAAAAATTGTAATAGCTGTTTCCCTTCAGGTGGTCAAGCAGTTCAAATGGCTAAAGCCGGTTTACAATCCATTTACCTGAGTGGCTGGCAGGTAGCTGCAGACAGTAACATGGCGAGTCAAACCTATCCCGATCAGAGTTTGTACCCCGTAAACTCAGCAGCAAAGCTTGTTGAACGAATCAACAACGCCTTCATCAGAGCAGATCAGATTGCACACATGGAAGGAAAAGATCATCACATTGATTTCTTTTTGCCAATTGTGGCTGATTGCGAGGCTGGATTTGGTGGCCCGTTGAATGCCTTCGAAATCACGAAATCTATGGTAAGTGTGCTTTAGCTGGATTTGATAAAAAGAGAACCTTTGTTAAAATATTTTTCTTTTCATCTTGAGGCTAATTTACTCAGTATATCGATAAGTTCAATTGCGAATGAAGAGCTTATTTTGACAGGAAGCAAACCAATCCAGTGAAAAGGGGCTACGAAATAATTCGTTCTCCTCCACTTTATTCCGAGACATTTTCACACTCTTTTACTTTCGCTTGTGTAATTCTAGCACTTGTATTTATTGTCAAGCAGGGAATTTCAAATGTGACACGCCTTTGGTTTAAACATAGCTAAGCCGCAGAGATATGATTGCTAGTTCTATTTCACTGGAGTGATGAGTCTGTTTTTGACAACAGATTACAGCCGGTGCTGCAGGCGTCCATTTTGAAGATCAGGTGGCATCAGAGAAGAAATGCGGCCACATGGGAGGAAAGGTTCTTCTACCGACACAACAGTTTATCAAAGTCTTAAACGCTGCTCGCCTTGCTACTGACGTTATGGGTGTTCCCACTGTTATCATTGGACGAACAGATGCCGAGTCAGCAGCGCTTGTGACGTCAGATATCGACCCACGTGACCAGCCATTCTTGACTGGCGAAAGAACAGCCGAGGGATTCTATCGATCAACCGCTGGCTTACAGCAGGCCATTGCTCGTGGACTGAGTTATGCTCCATATTGTGATGTGATTTGGTGTGAGACAGGTAAACCTAACTTGGACGAGGCACACATGTTCTCTGATGCAATCCATTCCATGTTTCCAGGAAAACCACTCGCATACAACTGCTCGCCTTCCTTCAACTGGAAAGCCAACCTCAGCGATAAAGAGATAGCTGAGTTTCAGAAAGAACTCGGTAAAATGGGCTACAGATATCAGTTTATTACCTTAGCCGGTTTCCACTCGCTTAATCACGCTATGTTCAAGTTAGCACGTGACTACAGAGATCACGGCATGTCTGCCTACACCAAGATTCAAGAAGACGAGTTTGCGCAAGCGCAATTCGGCTTCACAGCACATAAACATCAAAGAGAGGTGGGGACGGGATATTTTGACCAAGTGAGTATGGCGATCAGCGGAGGAACAAGTTCAACGACAGCTTTAGAAGGATCAACCGAAACGGAACAATTTTGCAACAAAAAATCAGTACTAATCAATGAGAAACAAAGTTTTGGGCGATAAAAGAAAACTCAATTCTTTTTTCATAGTTTTTTTTTTATGAAAATTGAGAATTTACTCGTAGACAAATTTATAGACTGACGGGAAAATAACTTTATTCTTTGCTTGATTTAGCTGTTTATCAAGATGCTTTTTCACTATTTAATTGAAGTGCAGAGTGACGTCCATCTTATTTCTGCAGCGATTTTCAGTGAGACTCTGGTATGGCCTTTTAGTGATGTTAATTTCATGGTGTTATAGATGTGAAAGTTTGAGAATAATTTATCATTGGTTTGGATATGTTCAATCTGGAGAGAAGCTTGCTATTAAAAATCTCTAACTTGGTAAAATGGCCATTGTGATACAATCAGTGCCAAGTTAAACAGTCCTGCAATCATACTATCGTTGGACGTAATGCGCCATCCAATGCTGACTTGCAATAGTACTCTTAAATGTGTGTACATGTTATGTGCGCTGTATTTGCTCTAATCGTTCGTTGCAGCTGCATTAAAACTGACACATTTCCCTCTATTAACATAATAAAAAGAATATTTCTCCAGTATAGAGCAATTGAAAAATACACTTGTTCTTGGTTGGAAAAAGATGATCAAAGCGCATCTCGTTTTCTTATCCACAAGACTTTTCGATGAGCGTAAAAACCTTAAGGAAATTGCTATCTTTCCCCCGCAGTCTGTTATAGGAGAAATATATAGCTTTTCAATGGTATGCGGCGCCTCAGCACTTCACTCAAAGAGAGCAACCTACTGTTCAAAGTCTCCCCATTCTAAAATGCATCATAATGTAGACGAGGATAACAACTATCAGCGGTCAATGAATGTCTTCACAGACGGTTGAAAGGGAAATCTAACAAGAAGGAGAGGTGTCAGTGCCTGTGATCCCACGCCACCTTCCCCTCCGCCCCCTCCCCCTTCC